AACCTACTGATAGCACGTAATTGGAGGCAGCAGTTAGGACAGTTGCTGTCAGCGTCTGTTGAGTCATTTGCAAGGCCTTCAGAAAGTAGCGTAGATTGCACACATTGCACAATAACATGAGCCCAAGAGGGAGCACTTGGACTAACGCAAATTCTATAAAATAAAAATAAGAAATTATTTATTAAGTGATTATTGCAAATACTTACCAAGATATGCATAGCCGGCGAATGGTTGTTCTGCGTGCATCTGTAGTAGGTTCATTGCACTGAGAAAACTGGGCAACTTGCCAAAGAAGCTGCCGCCGGCAGCGCATGCGCCAGCTAAAAAACTATAGCGGTACTTAAGCAAAACATCCATTTCAACTTATTTTTTAAGTTTATCAGCTGCTTTGCCGCTTACAATAAAATTATCATAAGTTCGCCACCACGATTTATAATGAATAAGAATATCGCATATAAAACATCGATTGCAGTCACTAGTAATTATAGTTTGAGCGGATTTTTTAAAAAATGTATCGATTTGTGGTGCAAATGAAAGAAAAGAAGTTTGCAATTGGCATCTCAGCTCAGAATTTAATATTTATATACATAGTTTTCAAAGGGCATGTTACATCAACATATCGGTTAGAGTAATAATCAGATTATTTCAGTTTACAGAATGAATGTTTAGAACTCCAGTAACCAGTAGTAATATGTTTAATTCAGATGGGACCATTTCGGCTGAACCTGAAAGCAAGAGGCCCGAATACGGACAATATATAAATACAATACATTGCTTCCTTAAGTTGAATTATTCATTTAGAGTATTGTAATTTCACAGATAAATTATCGAGTTGGCTTTATTGGCTGATATTCATAGCGGAGGCATCCGAGCTGACATCGGCTATATGAAAGGAACCATCCTCGGCTGGCAAATCATCTTCATCCGTATACAAGCGACGTAGACGCTCCTTGTACCTATAAATAAATGCACGATAATGATTATACAAATATATATAGGGATGCCATCTGGGATCATACAGTTCGCTGTCGGGATTATTATTTTGATTGCGACACTTGTCCAATTTCTTTTCAATAGCCTTAACTTTCTCTCGATCTGGTTGCTGATAGTTTTTGACCAACATGCGTATTTCTGAAATTATGAATTTGGCTTTAGAAACGTCCGATTGCGCTTTACTTTTTACTTACTGCGCACTGCATCGATCAGACCCGGTAGCTTCTCGCGTGCTGACACAAACAGTAGGTCTGTGACGTAGCTGTCCAGGTTCTCTTGCTCCTTGCTGGCTGCATGCAGCACAGCCGCCAGTCCAATCTGCGATGGAGTATGCAGCAGACATGCGTCTGTAAAGAACGTCGAGTCGATAAAGCTATCTATTTGCGGGCGCAAACGTTCTGGATTTTGCATATTGCTGCGAGTCTGCGAATGAATAGAAAATGTTCGACTTGAAAAAATAGTTAAAATAGAAGCGTTGCGTTTCGTGCCTTGATGTCTATTAGGAAGCCCTCAATCGGGCGGAACGGATTGTGTATTGTGAGGTAGTAGTTTAGTTGGCCAATTAACAGTAGTTCATTTGAGAGCACAATGTCGGTGGCCTTGTTGCGATCGCCTTTTATGTTGTTTACAAACTGATTGATAGACACATTAAACTCCTCCACCTTACAGGCAACAAATACGCAAGTCGCTCTAAAAGGAAAACAAGCAATAGTTGTAACAAACATACATATGTATGTATATTTAAAAAATATTGGATGCTCACAATATTTCTTTGGGGTGATAGTCCATCGGTGTATTGTTTAAGTAAAAGCGCTTGAAGTAATGAAATGCAGTCCCAATTACGCATTTCGGCATGGTTGGCTCGAAACGCCGGCAAAATTCCACGAGATAAATTTCATACTGCTTTAGCAACAGGCTCTCTTCAGCCGGCGTTAGAAAATAATTTTCGAGGTTGTCTGGCGATGGCGCTTCACTTCGATGCTCCTCGATGTATTTTGTGTTCTGCTCCACCCGGAATGCATGTAGCTGAGCTTCGTTTGCAAAAGTCCAAGATCGTTTTTGTGAACTTTGCGGATACATTGTTAAATATAAACATTTAACAGAACACTGACACTGTTTGCCTTAGACATTCGCTAGTGAACCGAAATAATGCCCAATATCGATAGCTGCAAGAAGAAATACAATCAAAATATATCGATAGTTTATAAGTGAAGTCGTGTGTGTTGCAGACTTTTGGGCGCCAAAAAATATTTCAAATCATATAAAACCGATTAAAAACAGCTGTTTTGACAATCTGCATAATTCATGTGCTGCACCACTTAGTCTTTTTATAGTAGTGCTGCACATTTCACGTGCGGAACGGTTTACAGGAGGCAGCGGCAATATTTTGACTCATCGAAACAGCGAAATTGCTCTGATTTTTGCTGCATTTATATTGAATCGAAATCAGGTCATTCGACTGTTTGTTCTCCCCGCATCTTACGCACATCCTCTCCTGCTGGTTTGTCTGTAGGCTGCAATGTTAACGTTTGTATACCCTTCATTGAATAAAATAAAATGAAAAGGAACTTGTAGTAGAATAACCAATGTAAGGTTATAGGTAATTTTTATTGTTTGATCTTCTGCAAATTTAAAAAAAAAAATTAATTGCATTCTTTAATTACCTATCAGCTGTAAATGTAAATATTTTCTTAGCTATGCGTGGCTTAACGAAGCTGACTTCTAATCGATAATACCTTTTGACTACTCTTCTCTGAGGTTTCTGTATACTTTGTATGCAAGGAGCAGCGTGCTGTGGCAATAAAATTGCAATTAATTTTTATTGACAACTCTGAACTCTTGTTACAGCGTTTTGTTGTTGATCTTAAAGCGATTTCTCTGGCGCAATGTGGAAGGCGTTTTGCAGGTACTCACCGACCCCGGATGGGAAACGAAAGATATGAAAGACCACAACTAAATAGGGATCTAACAAACATTTCAACATGTGACTTATTTGACGACATTTGTGTTTTGATTTCATTTTTTATTCGAATAGTCTAACATCTATATAAAGTAGACCACCCAAAACGTGGATCTACTTATGTAATACAATACAAATATATTTTGTTGCGATTAACGACTGTTGAACTTCGGGCGTACAATAAAACTGAAATAAATAAATAAATCTATGACTGAAAAAGAAATCAGTTTACAATAAAAGCTGGCCCCAGCATTTACAAACAATGAAATTCAATGCAATAATTCAATATTCAATTGAATTTTAAGCACGCCTCGGCTCGAGCAGAGCCTCCTCCTTGAATCTTTGAAACTAGAAACTGGTCCATGGAGTCGAACCGTCCGATTGTCCGACCGTTCGGGCGTCCAGCCCTCTCTGACGGCAATCCATCTCAGCTTGTCTGCGCCGCACGCGCACAGACCGCGATCTACTGAGTCATATAAGCATTCATGGACATACATTCATGCATACATACATACATGTGTACTTCGATGCATATATACATATGTGATTGTGTGTGTGTGCGTAAGAGGGAATTGGCCTCGAAAACCACTTGGTAAAGAAAGCTGAGGTGGATTACGAAAACTTACAAGAAATGCAGACAAATCTTTCGGAATCGAAAGCCATATTTGATCTTAAACTAGAACCTCAACATTGAACGATTTTAATGTATTATCTGATAATATGATTCTTAGTGGAAATCATCTTCATAATTAATAATCATTATTAATTTATATCATTTTTACTTCTTGTTATTATCAATTTTACTTATTATCAATGTATATCTGTAATATTGTATTTTATATTATAATTATATACAAACTACAAACCTTTTGATTATATCAAGGCATTGACACCTATAAAAATGATATAAACAACAACAAAATCAATGCAAAAGTATGTAGTATGCCTCTTTACTCACACTAACACACACCAACGCACATACACATAGGCACATACACTTAAGCACTCACTCACGCCCAATCACATTCGTTTTACCTGAATACATAAATGCATTTGAAAGACATCTATGTGAGATGCTGCCATACGGACTCTAAGTACGTATGTATCAATATATTTGCAGGCACTGTTTTTGTAGCTGTGGGTTTTTTTGTTGTTACTGTTTCTATATAGCGTGTGGTCGTGGATTATGTTCGGCTTTTGGCATCTCACTTTGTCGCTACTCTCAGGGGGCGTGTTTTCACATAGACAAAAACAAGCGAATAATTGAATGTGTGAATGCTCAAATTTGTCTGCTAGATGTGTGTGTGTATGTGTGAGTTTTCACTTGGGGCTTAGCCAATGGGAAACATGTATAAATACATACTTAACTCTACGCATTCATTAGCTTTCAAAGATTTCACTTTCAGTTCGTTGCCTAAGTCTTTTGATTTCAGGTGACGATGTTAGTTCAACTGGAAGATATAAAAATGTTTTTAATAAAAATTGCGTTGCAACTAATTCTTATATTTTGTAGAAAAAAAAAAAACGAGAAATAAATATAAATATATTTGAATATATGTTCATTCGAGCTATTTTTATTTGTTATTTACTTTTCTCTTGCCTGCCTGTTGCTGTTGCTTCATTTGTTGTCATATATCGGCGGCATTGTCATAATTACATTTATGTAGTCAATATCCACATAGTTGACATTTGGAAATATGTCAGCCGGCTTACGTAATGAATAAGGCATCCACTATATACGAGCGTACGGCTCTCTGTTGGCTGTCTTCCAGGGATTGTGATGGATATACACATAAGCACGGGTCATGTGACAGTTGAATCGCAAATATATTTAACAATTTGCTGTAGATGGTCATGTTAAGTCTGCTCATGTGTCAATTCGATGGAGGCAGCTCGGACCAGGCCAGCCAGACCAAGGAAAGTTCATTTCAGTTGCGGTCGAAACTTTCGGCAGAAATGAAAGATTTTAAATCATTTTTTGGAGATTCTGTTAGCCATATAAGATTCTTCAAAATTGTTTTCGTTTTTATTATTTGTTTGCTGCGTTTTACATTGGGTTCGCTTAGCTTATGTGTCTACGCAATAAATTATTTAAAATTAAGAAAACAAACAGAAGCGAAAAAACAACATGCAAATTATAAATGACTTATGTATAATACACGTGCTAAACATAAATTAAATAAAAACACACAATTAAATGACAGTCGATTGTAAATTTGGCTAAACATTATTTTAATATTTATACTTATATATGTATATGCGTATATTAGAGTGTGTATGTGTGTGTGTGTGTGTGTATACGAGAGTATTTCGAATTGCTTAAATGCTGTAATTGAGCTAAAAACAATTTATTTGTACATACTTTCACTGGCACCAATATCGAATCGTTTGCAAGCAGCCAAGTGGGATGGCTTCCTGCCGTGACCTTATCCTGTCAGAGTCTGCGAGCGCACCAGGGTCAGGTCGAGGGGCGTGGGCTTGCGTACAAAGGTGGCGGGCGACTCCGAGGGCAGGTTGGCTGATTCACTGAGAGGGCTATTGGAGCTGTTTGCCGTCGGACTTGCAGCATCCGTTCGTGAGCGAAGCGATAAGTCCATGGGCTCCTCCTCCTCCGCCGGACTGCTCGCGGGGAACGGAAATAGCAGCTCCGACTTGAATTGTTCCTTGAAGATGGGCAGCGGCGGCAAACTGCTGGCCATCAATGCTGGCGGCAGGGTGAATGGCGTAAAAGAGCTGTACAGCGGCTCAGAGTGGCTGCGAAAGATATCCAGCAGCTCCTTGTGGCGTCGCTGCTGCTGCTCCGCAATGTCCGCCTCGGAGCTGCCCGCATAAGCGGAGCTGCTCTGTCGCACCGCCTTCCTAATGCTGTTCGTCGTGGCGCTCAGCACGCTGGTGCCGTCGTCCGTGGGATCCCCGGCCGAGGAGGCGCCAGAATCGCTGGGCGTATTGCTGAGGCGGGACTCGAGCTTCAGCTGGCGATGCTGCTGCTGCTGCTGTTGCTGTTGCTGTTGCTCGTTCAGATACTTGGCTGCTTGCAGAAATCCAGGCAAACTCGGCGCTGGCGTCGAGGCAGTGGACACCGCTGCCGCTGCCGCCGCTGCTGCCGCCGCCGTCTGCAGTGCGATGGTGGGCGAGGTGGCTGCCGTGGCCGACTTGATGCAGGGATTCGTTTTGTCCTGGTAGGTTTGTCGCGCCTGGTTGCTCGCCTGCTGCAGTCGCGCCAACTGATCCAGATTCGCGTTGCTCACGCTGGCTGCGCCCATGGCCGCGCCGCTCCCCTGCTGCTCCTGCAGCAGGCAGTGTATCTTGAACCAATTGGAGCGGCGGCCATAACGAGAGCCGCTCTTCGACATGCCCACCAGCAGGCACTTGCGCAGCCGGCAGGCCTTGCAAGCCGTGCGATTCTTCTTGTTGATGACACAGTCCCCGTTGTGCTTGCAGCCGGCGATCGCTGCGATGTTGTTGTAGGTGCGGCCAAAAAACGACTGCAACGATGCAAAGACTTTATGAATTCTTTCGTTGTGAAAGTTTATAAATCAGTTAGAAGAGCATCTTAAGGCATCTTCTTATAGGAACAAATATTTATATTTTAACAAATATGTATTCAAAGAAAAAATCGTTTATATTCAGTTCTATTCGTTTTTTTGATCCAAAGAACATATCCATATGTAATATAGGTATTATTATTCCGCACAAAATTCTATTTTATTCAATTCAAAAAATTTATGAAGTAATTCTATTATATTTTTATGGTCAATTATTCCAAGCTGAATTTATAAATTTAGATTTCATTTTATATGTACATTGTATTTTTGCTAAATCCTATATGAATTTAATTGTTGCGCTTCGGTCTATTTCTTATTAAGTCTTTTATTTTCTTGTGTAATTCGTTGCGGTCCAATAATAAATATCTGAGAAACATTTTCATTTATCAGTATAACATATATGGATACTATGTCTTTGCTTCAGACCATAGTATAGCTTGAATCGTTATTCTCGAATTGAGCTCTGCTGTCAGACTTTATTTCAAGCCATATAAATCAATGTCTATTTATCCTTTAATTGGATATTAAGCTTTGTTAACAATAATTCAATTGGTATTCAAGTAAATTTTGATATTCTAAATTAATTGACTTACAATTTAAATTAACGTAATCAAATTAACAATTTGCGAGCCTGATTTTCTGGTTTAGCTTTCTTTTTTATTTCATTTAATTGTTTTTAATAAAGTATATTTAATACTATTGATACTATTGATATTATTAGACATAAAAGTCTAACTTATTTGCAGTTCAATCTGGTCTTACAGTCTTCAGTCTTTCTTCCATAGATCTCTTCCACTTGCTTGGCTCTTGCTGAAGCTCTCTGAGCTCCTCTGGCGTTCAAAATCAATTATTGTTGATACCTTTTGCACCTGTGATTAGCATTCGGCAAGTGGCATAATTTCGATCAACTCGGCGCTTCAATTACAAAATGTGCGTTAATAAACTGCCAACAGTGTGTGTTAGCCCCAGTCTCTGCTCCTGCTCCTGCCGCTGCCCCTGTTCCCGTCTGTAGCCCTAGCTCCATTCATGGTGATTAAGCGAAAGAGTTTCATGCACTATTTAATGTATGTGAGTGCTTTTGTTTTGTTATTGTTGTTCGTTGGCTGTTTTTCTATTTTAGCCAACTCATTCGAGAGCTGCTGGGCCAAAGTTGTTCGCATCGATGTTGAAGTTCATTGAGCGCCATGTTCAGCGAATAAGTTAACTTTGATGCTTGGCTCTTGCCATTGCCCATTCGCTGAGTCATCTAATATGCATGTAATTTTTATTTGATTGACTGCAGTTTACAATTGTGCTCGCCTTGAGCTCTGCCTCTCCCTCTCTCTCTCTCTCTCTCACTCTCTTTGGTGGTATATATGTACAAAGAGTCGACCCATCAGCTGCTGCTCTAAATTTGCAGATATTTTCCCATGGCATTTGAAGGTTCAGGCCATTGTGCACGTCCTCGCATCTACTTAAAGTCAATTAAAAATCAATTAATCTACCGAATTGAATTTTAATTATAGCAATAAGATTTCTTCTTCTTTTCATGTGTTGCAGAAGTAAAAACCTAAATCTTGAGCTCATTTTCGCACATTTTGTAAGCATGCCGAAATATTTTATTTCTGTTGTTATTATTTGCTTCCCACAATTGTTGATATACATAAATATATGATCGAAAATACGTATTCATTTGTATATTATAGTAATATCATTATATATATATATATATATATATATATAAATATATATATATATATATTTTT